GATCAACTAATCGATTAATTGTCTAATTTCAACTCTACTGGGCCTATTTATTTATTTCACTATGATTTATAAACTAAACAATTAGTCGATAATTGAAATAATTGCGAGTTGCATTCCTAAATAATGCAAATGAACAGTGCATTTTGATTTAAAGACTTTTTTGAATGATACATTTCTATACAAAAATATCAGACTGTGAAAAATGTGCATGAGAAGAAGATATTCTTTTTTAATCCCCGAGGGGAAATTAAATTTTTTTCACTCTGTTGACATACACACACAGGCTCGAAATACACACACATACACAAACGGGACCTATACATGCATTAAATGGAAAGATGTCAGAGCGAGGGGGCTGCCCATAGACAGGCACCCCGAGCAGTTGGGGGTTTGGTGCCTTGTGCAAGGGCACCTTGGCAGTGCCCAGTAGGCGAACTGGCACCTCTTTAGCAACCAGTCCACACTCCATATTTGGTCCAGATGAGGCCTTGAACTGGCGACCCTCAACTTCCCAACCCGAGTCCCTGTGAACTGACAACTGAGCTACTGTAATGACATCAAATGTGTTTTTTTTGTCTGATCAACAGACACAAATCCAACAACTATCTGGTTTACTGTCACATAAGACAAAGAAAACCAGCACATCGTCATAACTGAGGAGCTGGAATCAGTGAATGTTAACGTTTTTGCCTCAAAAACAATCAATCATCAAAATATCAAAAACAATCAATCATCAAAATAGTTCCTGATTAATTTAAGTCAGTTGACTGATCAATTTAGCATTCTACATTATACAACACTGATTTTAAATGTAGTGTACAATACAAAGTAAATCTAAGATTAACATCATCGACTTATCGGCACATTGTCAGTATCGGCCAATATCGGCTTTAAAATTAACTTTAAGGATCGCCAAGTTCAAGACAGGTGAGGTAAACAAACCTTTATCTTGAGCCCATCCCACACATCCAACAACACTAAGCTCCTCTTTTCACTCTAACCTGTAGTGAAGCACACTGCTCCTAATCTCACAGCATCCTCCCACGGGCGGTGTTGGAGGTCAGACAAGTAAGGCATCTTAAATAACCGGTGACCTTAAATTCATCTGAACAAATAGACTGGTGTAGCGGCGGACAGATGGAAAAAATGCACAAGAACGTTCCCGCGTCTTCGACTTCACCGTCTTATCTGACATCTGCGCCCTGACCTCTCCCTGACGAACATTTACACCAAACAGTGCGAGCAACGTGGGGTGCACTAAAGCTCCCTGATGCTCATTCACTTTCAAATCTAGGGCACGCGAGTGCTCAACACAAAACAGACAGCAGTGGCAGATTTAAAAATAAAAGATTAAATGCTCGTGGGCTGGAAAAAAAAAACAAAAAATATCTCTCTCTGTCATACAAACGGAAACATACACACGGAAACATTCCTCTCTCAATATAAACTCAATACATGAAAAAGCTGATAAGAATACATGAAATGAAAAGTACATTCAATATTCTCTGCACGCCATCGATAAATCCATCTATTCAAGCCTAATTTCATGAAAGCTGCTCTCGTGTTTACTACGTACAAAGGGACTTAGTGTCAGATTAAAACATTGTTGTGCGTTGGAGTGACACACACCTGACGGGATAACACGGGCTTGGTGATGCTCCCTTTGGGGAAACGGTGTCTTATAACGTCACAGGATCAAGGTCAAGGTAGGGGGCGCTTTTTAGGAATGCCACAGTAACAACAGGTCCTCTTACTCAATCTGCCTGGATGCATTACACCCCTCACTGCGATCAGGGATGAGCTCTCATCAGGAAGAGAGAGCGGTTTAATTAAACAGAGCAAATCATCTTCTCAACAATGATGACGGATAGGAGAGGCAGAAATGGGAAAAGCAGGGAGAAAATTAGGGAGGAGAGGATGATACAGGAAAGTAGAGCTGGTGGCAGCTTTGAAGGAAAATGGAATAAAATGGTAGAACCAACAGAGAGGAGGGAGAGGTAACCTTATGAAAGAATGTCTGAAATCATAATAACAAAATGAATTATTCATGAGGAAATGGAGGGGAGGTTCAGTTCACTATAATGAGCATTTTTGTGAGGTCGCAGTTTGGTAACCTAAGCAGGCCTTCAAGTGTGTGTATGTGCATGTGCGTGTGTATGTGTGTGTGAGTGTAAGAGAGATACTGCTGATTCAGTAGGGATGGGTGAAGGTGACCCTCGCCTGCTCCTGCTGCCTGTCTCACCACCTGATATTGATCCCAGTTGTCCAACTCAGATCTGACTCAAGGATACATGGATTCATTGCCTTCTTGACATTTCAAATATGGCAGTGTGTAAACTGTAACCTCACACACTATCATTGATTAGTTATTGATCTGCTCCCTCAGTCAGAGTCTAACCACTTAACAGCGTCTTATCCAATCCCAAATTAAATCTCGATGTATGGAGGCAGTGACGCCAGGCCAGCATGGGAATGTTGTTGTTGAAATTTCATATCAGACTCCACATAAACTGTTGGGAACTAAGAATAGAGCCGGCTACAACTGCGGAATCCAAATGCAGTGGCTGGGAGCAAAGGTTTGGACCACAGATGGGAGAATATGCCTGCGTAGCCCTGCCCTGTCAAGGGTAAACTGCCTTGCACATAACACACAGCCCACACACACACACACACATGCACACTTTGTTTTCACCCCACCTTTAAACAGTAGCATTAATATGCATGATGCCGAAGGACACAGGAGGTACATAATTAGACAATCAACAACTCCCAGATGACGTGCATTACTACGACAGGAGGAGAAATGCACCTCACTTCATCCTCCCCTCTCGTTAGCGGCAAGAGCGGAGTCATGTTTGTACGTCGACATGCATTTCCACTTACTGTCTGTTCAAACTTGGGCTGAGAACTGGAATCGAAAGAGGACAAATGCAGGATGAAACCAAAAAAGGCTTTGCTGATAGTTATAGTGCAAAACAGGTGCTGTGCTGGGGGAAAAGCAAACAGTGTGGGGACCAGAGCAGCATGTGTGGACAGTCTGACACCACATGTCTCTCCTTCCCTTCCAACAAATTAATGATTCATTATAACAGCATAACCTTGACTGCTCTCCAAATCCAAAGCAATGCATAGTATTAAGTCAGGGTCAAACATCCATCTCTTCGAAACAGGCTCTCTGTATCGAGCAGGGACACACCCTAAACAAACAGCAACAACACAGAGAGAGAGAGAGACAGAGAGAGAGCTGCGAGGCACACTACACACATGCCTGCACACACACCTGGCCGTGAACTACAGAGCACGTTATGCAAGTCAGTCTGTTTCTTATGGCAAAATGGGCACAGGTGCATAAATGTGGGCTTGTGTTTACATTTCATTAAGACAATTTGCAGCGCAGGAGATTAAAAACATTAAAAAAAGAAATGATGAAAAGGTCTCAACAAACTTTTCTAATCATGCAAACACATACACACAACCATATGCTTCTATACTTGTGAGGACCCTCATTGACATAATGCATTCCAAAGCTCCTTACCTCAACCTTAACCATCACAACTAAATACCTATCACCAACCCTTACCCTATCATTAACCATCACAACTGAGCATCTATCCCCAACGCTTACCCTTACCTAAACTATCACAACTAAATACCTATCACAAACCCTTACCCTTACCGTAACCTAAACCATCACCATTAAATACCTATCACCAGCCCTTACTCTTACCTTAACCTTAACCATCACAACCAAATACCTATTCAAAACCCTTACCCTTACCCTAACCTAAACCAACACAACTAAATACCTATCCCCAACCCTTACCCTTACCTAAACCATCACAACTAAATACCTATCACCAAACCTTACCCTTACCTTCACCTAAACCATCACAACTACATACCTATGACCAACCCTTACCCTTACCTAAACCATCACAACTAAATACCTATCACCAAGCCTTACCCTTCCCATTACCCTTAACCTATTCTTAACCATCACAACTGAGTATCTATCCCCAACACTTATCCTTACCCTAACCTGAACCATCACAACTGAATACCTATCACCAACCCTTACCCTAACCTAAACCATCACAACTAAATACCTACATATCTCCAACCTTACCCTAACTTAAACAATCACAACTGAAAACCTATCCCCAACCCTTACCCCTCCCCTTACCCTAACCTTAGCCATCACAACTAAATACCTATCACCAGTCCTTACCCTTATCTTTACCCTAACCCATACAATCACAACTGAATACCTATCACTAACCCTAACTGTTACCCTTGCCCTAACATATACCTAATTCTAACTTTAACCTTAAAACCAAATCTGAACCCTCAAACACGCCTTTGAAGGTCCGTACAAATCCAAAGGCATAGGTTCGTCACAACATCGGGGAGGACACATGAAACGGGAGGTTTGGTGGTCCTCCTCTAAACAAATGTTGAGCATCAAACACTTAATTTCCTGAATTGTGATGGATTTATATGCACCAATTTGTGCCTTTCTGCACCAATTTGTGGTGTAAACATTTAATTTTGTCCAACTAAAAGTCCTCTGATACTTTCATGTTTTATGCACATGCTCTAAGTATTCAGGGCAACATGTCCTGTGCGTTACCCTTGAAATTTACACCTATATCCAAAGGTGTGGACTAGGCACAATGTCCTTACTTTCCAAAAATGTCCTCACTGTCAAGGTCTAAAACTCCCAGCGCTCACAAATATATATGTAAAGGTACCCTCATACAAATGCACACATCCTGTTGAAGGAGGCAAAGGTAAACTTCATGTCAAACTGACACTCTTATCCCTATTAGATCTGCCACCATCATTACAAACCCACATTGCTCACTCCCTCTTACACACTGACTAGTTTACATGTACACACACTCCCTCTCTCTCACACACACCCTCTCTGTCTCTCACACACACACTTGGGTTAGACACAACAGATTCTCATATTTCTCATATTTAGGGAAAATACTGACCTGCCTTGGCGCTGACACACACACATTCTTTTCAAGCAGTTGAGCCTTTCAAAGAGGATCCGTTTGAACGCGTCTATATACATCGACCCGACTGAGGTTAAATAATAAGACTTAAATAAATACGAGCTGTTTAAAGAGCAGCCTGCAGTGTATGTAAGTGTGTGTATGTATGTGTGTGATGAAAAGCAGTGTGGGGATGCAGTGATGAGTATATGGCACCACCACCGTATCCCGGAGAAAGTCAGAGGCGATGTGCACGGCTGACGGGATATTTGGACAGTGATGCTCTGAGAGCCGTGGTGATGTTGTAGAGAGAGGAGAGAGGAGGGAGGAGAGATAGGGAAAAATACTCACACACACACATGCTCGCTCACACACACACACACACACACACACACACACACACACACACTACACACACACACACTATCGGGCAAATCTGACAGCGGCCGCTTATAAATGTATCAGCTGCTGCACAGCTATAGGCAAAGCAACGTGGAGGATGGATACATGTCATGGTCAGACATTGCTGTTTAACTTGTGAGGAGTGTGAAGCCTGCTGAACAATAAGTGCTGCACTTTGGAGAATTTCTTACCTTCATGGTGGCTTTCTTCTCGTCAAATCCGTCCTGCTGGCCTCCGCTGTGCAGATCGTGCAGATTAATAACAATCAGCACATGCTTTGAATGTATTAACAGCAATCAAGAAGGAGAAGACAAACGCCGCACTATCGATCTGACCGGGTGGAGGTGTCATTGAACTGCAGGCGCGGTTGGTGATTTCAGGGCGCGGAGCGTCAATTGCCGAAGATCAGATCAGATGAGATAAAGGCTGTGTTGTCCGGTGCAAAGTGTGGTCAGGTTGATGATCCTGCTCCCCCCAAAAGAGCACTTTAGAAGTAAAGAAACAGCGATAAAAGGCAAATGAGAAGGTTATCTTGGGGAAGTTAAGGAGCACAGAGGGGAGGGAGTGAAGAGTTAAAAGTACCGCCCCTTATTATTCTCACTCTCTGTGCACCTGCATCAGCAGCATCACTTTTCGCTTACGAGTTGGAACCAGGATTTAAAGGCGTGAGAACCACATTCAAAAGGAAACTTAACAAGAATGTTCTTTATCCAGTTGTGACGAATGTCATTTGGCGACTTTATCAAACTTTCAAAGGTTTTGACCATAATAATAATAATAAAAAAATTGTCTGGAGCCACAAAACATGATTGAGCTTCATATGAAGGTAACACAACCTTTAAGTCTAAATGAGCCTATTAATATTATTAATAAGTCTAAATGAGCATTTATTAACATGCTTTAGGCCAGTGGTTCCCAACTGGTGGGTCATGGTCAAAAAGTGGGTCGCAGGTCAATTCTGAGTGGACCGTAAGTGACTGCAAACATGTCAAGTTTGTAAAAAAAACACACTTTATTTTGAAGTACAGTGAATTTGTGGTAGGCCTACAGAACTTTTATTTTAAAGTGCCATTTTCCAACATATTCTCACTCTGACCTCGTCGCCTGTTGACATTTGGTCATGGACTTTCCACGTCAACATACCACACGCAAAGTACCCTGGGTGGGTTGCTTGTTGACGTTCTGGGACACCGTGTCAAGTTCTCTTCTTTCAAGATACACCTCCATTTTCACTGGAAATTTAACGTTTACATACAGTCTGTTTTAAAATAAATGCACTACATCGGTACAACACCGTGAACATTCGGAGTAGTTGGGGGTTCAGTGCCTTGCTCAGGGGCACCTCGGCAGTGCCCAGTAGAGGAACTGGCATCTCTCCAGCTACCAGTTAACACTCCATATTTGGTCCAGACGGGGACTTGAGCTGGTGACCCTCCAGTTCCCAAACCAAATCCCTAGAGACTGAGCTACTGTCAGGCCTGAACATGAGCTTCTCTCTCTCAAAGCTAGAAATAAGTCTCAAACTATGATGTCATAGGGTATAAAGTCTGGAGCTGCTCCATAGACAACCAGCATGTTTACACGACATTAGAGAAAATTGATTTATTGTAGTCTGACTAAAACCGGACTTTAAGAATACATGTAAACATGTTAGTCCAAATGAAATAGTACTAAATTGAACTTCTCAAAGTTGGACTAACACACCCAGATAATGTGATTGGGAGTCATATTACTATTACTATACTGCATGTATACAGTCAGACCAGAACTGGCCAAGGTGCTCAGCGCATGCTCCACAGTGTCCACCCTGGGCTTTGACCTGGAAGTCGAATAGCATTAATTGCATAATGATAGAAGAAGCCAGTAACAACATGGCGAAATCTACATCCAGAGCTGTGTATTTTTGGATGGACAAGGAGACACAGTTCATGCTGTTTCAGCTCAAAGAGTTAAATATTTTAAAATACATGGATGGGAGGAAAACACTGAATGGAGACCTGTTAAAAAAAGTGGCGGAACAGCTGAATGACACTGAATTGTTTGGTCTGTGACGAAGTAGGTCCAGTATTAACAAGATGAAAGGGGGCATATCGCCACCAATCGAAGCTGATTTGGACATACTTGGGTCAATAAATTGATTCCCCTCCTCTGCTTGTATACTAGTCTAGATGAGCTGTGACTTTAGCTCGACTTAACTCTGCATGTAAATGTACAGAATAAATTAGAGGCTGATTTTATGGACCCACAGAATGTTTGTTTTCTTTTTTATACCTAAATGATCTTTATTCTATTGTAGTGTTCTTCGCTCTGAAACAGAAAATGTTCCCATATGCTCAGAACATTCCCCTGGGTGCTCTTAGTGTCATCTATAAGATTGTTCACCATTTATTGTCTATGGAGCAGCTCCAGACTGTATACTTGATGACATGACATCACATATTTTAGTTTTAGCACTCTAGTTTTTGGATTAAGGAGAGAGTTTTTCATGTAAAGTAATATTTGGACTGTCTTAGATCATAGGAATACATGTATGAAGACGTTATGGTGACATAATTTTGGGCGCAGCTTGGTGTGATGATGTTCCATAGACTCATTTAGCCACGTGTTAGCAACTGCCTCTTTTAAAATACATAGACACTCCATTCAAATATTGACTTTATTCTTACCTTTTTTTTAAAAAAGATTTTGAGATATATTTTCAACATCTTTCTTTTTGAAATCTGGAATGTACATAGCTATTGTATTGAATTTATTCAATAAAGTTTGGAAAAAATAAGAAAAAATTTCAGTTCTGCAACTTCATCTCTAGAGGCCACTAAATCATACATACTAGTCCTTTAAAACAGTGAACTTATACAAAATGCAAAAATGAATGAATGCATTTTAAAGTGGACTACAGGCTGCAACAAATGTAAAATGCTAAGAAAATGTAAATATTAATGCAGTAAGACTACCGTATTGCAACTGTTGCATTAACAGTTGAGTCAATGATATTTTATTTATTTAGGAATCATAAAGGACACAAATATAATTGTCTTTTAAACTGTATTTCTTTTTTTTTAATTTATTTATTGCCTTGCTTGCTCTCTTCTATGTGGATTATAATATGCATTTAGTCTACACTGTACTAATGGATCGTTGTACCTTTAATTCTGATGCATGATGGGAATTGTAGTAATTCGCTAAGACTGTAACAAAACCAGTTTAGCGATACAAAACTACAAGATCCAGAATTCAGTTCTCTTACTTCTGTTGGGTACAAACAAAAATGGCGTCGAACGGGGAAGATGCGGGTTCCCTCACGACTGTTGTTCCTGGGGAACAAGAAGAGAGAAAAACGTTTTCATTTGGTTTCACTAAGACAGTTAGCAAATTTAAACCTTCGGCTGTCGACGCTGCGATCAAGAAAGATGAAAAGGATTACCTGACAGGAATTGACGATAAAGAATTGCAAAGGTAAGCTTCGTATGCTAATGCTAACCAACGTAACGTTACCGGTTTCGTTTAATATACAGGCTAGCATCAGCGTAACCGTTACTTATTTCATTCTGACATAGCTTAGCTAGCAAGTAATTAAATTATTGTAGGCGTTGTTAGCAATTGTGAACGAAGTTTATACCATATCTCATTATATTAATTATAAGTAAAGCTTGTTATGAAGCGGCCCTGACTGTTAGCTCGCTAACTTCATTCTGTGCTGCAGTTCAAAACCATCGGAGAAGCCCAAGGAGCTCATCATCCCTCTGATCCAGAAGAACCGCTGGCACAAAGCGGACCGAGCGGGCCACAGCGAGGCGAGCGGAGGCAAAACACAAGAAACAAGCCAAGACAATGACTCTGTGGAGTCTCAGGCTGTCAAAGAACTCATTGAAGGTATGTGTATTCAGAAGATATAGTGAGCTGAGATAACACTTACCCAAAAATATTAGTCCCAAGGGAAATTGCTGTGCAGCAGCGGCAATACAAAGTGGAATAAGAGCAGATACAAAGAGTGCAAATTTACACAAGTCTAAAATACCACAATATTAAGTGAGAGATATGTAATAAAGATAACAGTAATGTGAAAACTAAATGTCCAATGCCAAAATAAGCCCACCAGTATGGCTGATAGTTATGGAAAGGTTCATTCCTGATGTTTGTACAGTGTCAAATTCCAGGTAGTATAAGAGCTCAAGAGTGCATCATTAATGCAGAATGTTCATGATTATGTCCATGACATTTCCTTTAATGCCTAATTATTGCACATCATGTCCTGTGAGTCAGTTGTGAGGGGTTAATGACAAGAACTGAATGTAGTCCACGCAGTAGTCTATGAGAGAGGAAGAAAAGAGAGCAGATCAGAGCTGAAAAGGATGCTGGAGCCACCTCAGGTCCCCATATCTCCACTGTCTATCTGTCGACCTGAGGTCTAAACCCATGTTTAGTGTGTGTGCATTACCTCTTATATAAAGCTCCTTATCAGTGTCCAATTTGTGCTTGTAGACTCCCGGAGGCAGCTCGATCAGTGGCAGAATGGCCCTCAGTCAGGAGCCAACCTGAACCTCTCCATCCCCCTGTTGATGCAAAACAAAGTGCCAGATGGCTTTGAGGATGGGGACCATGTAAAGGTGGATCTACGGCCTGAATCTGTAAGTACAGATTCATATTATGTGATTGAAATGTTCTCTAATCTGAAAAGAAGTGCACAACAAAGAATGCAAGCTGGACTCAGCAGTTGCGTCAGAAAAA